ATTCGCGGTCGCCCCTCGAACAGTTGGTGGATTTCTCCTCTGTCCATAAACTGGTTTCCTCCCTTCAACCGCAGCCAAGGAGGGCTGCCACGACGCGTTTGAGCTAAGGCGTTGGCGCGCGCGGAAGTTTTAGTCCTTACTCCTTACGCCATCCATCTAGGCCCCTTTTTCTTGAGAGGGCTGCGATTACAGAATGCCTCCCGGCACGTTGGTGAGTCAATCCATATTCGCCTTCAGTGCGTGAAAATTATCAACAACTTTGAGCGGCGTATTCTACCGTCATTCTTCATGCCTACATCAGAGTAGGACCTTCTCAGTTATCACGAGTTTTAAAACTAGGCAGGTATACCAGGGTTACCAAACGAATTATAGACTAAGTAGGCCATCCTTCTGATGGTCTTAGTTGAGGAACCTTGACGGAGGGCAACACAACTCTCATCTTCCTTTTTTTCCTTTTTCCTGTTTATCTCCCCATTTTCTCCATCCTAGTTTTTCGCTGTCCCTCTCCCTCCCCTCACCCCTCTCTCCCTTTCTCCCTCCCTCACTCCTCTCTCCCTTCCCCTCTCCCCCTCCCTCTCTCCCTCTTTCTCCCTCTCTCCCTCCCTCTCTTCCTCCCTCTCCCTCCTTCTCCCCCCCTCTCCCTCTCTCTCCCCCCCTCTCTCTTGACCCATTCCATGTCTTGCTCTTGCGGCTCTCGTGATTATATTGCGAACCTACCAAGTTTCAAGGTCTCCATCTAGGATCTTACGTGCGTGAAATGTGGGCACAAGCCCTCATACGACTTCTAACCACTTCTATTCGAAGCATGTGTTCATTCAGTAGTAAATGCCGCTTTCGGCTGGTCGTCCCTATTCCGTGCCCACAGACGCATTGCACTTGGGGAGTTTGCATCAGCATTGGCTGAGAAGTCCTCCAATTGCCCAAACTACGCAACCTGTAGTTCTACATAGACCTGTGAAATTCCCCTCAAAAAGGCACAGCGGTGTTTAACCACGATGTAGCCAGTATGCGGCAGGCTAATTTCTTTCCTTCAACAACGCGACCTGAGAAGACTGACCTCCGAGCCGTTGATTGTTAGATTGAGAGATTTTCTGTTTTGTTGGAAAGCATGTCTGCGCGGAGAGTGGCTTAAGGGGCGGTTATTTGGCCGCGCCAACCCTAGGATATATTTGGTAGGCAAGACCATCGCGCGTAGATCCCGGCTTTATAATCACTTCATCGAATGCGCCATCTGCCTTATCTACAGTCGGGACTACAGACGCCGAACGGTTAGGTGTGTCACAGTGGTCTGTTGGTTGTGGGGAGGACTTCAAGCTGACTGAACGCGTGATCATGCTGGTGATCATTGGTACCGTAATTGTGTAATGCGACAGTACAGGCCTGGCCGGCCGAAGACTGATGAGAGCTTGCGCCGTCAAGCTTTAAACGTACTCTACAGCGTGTCCTATCAGTGATGGAGTTGAAGATGACCAGGGCCTGAAAGGATCTCATAAGATGCGTGAAGATTTGGACCAGGTCAGACTGGCGGCCGACGTGAAGCACTTCACTCGGGCTGGTAAACTCACTGTAGAGCAGTTTTTCTATCTCAACCAAACGCCAGGGTGGAGACGCAATGGTAGGGGTACAGTGTGTAACCGCGGATGACTGAAGAACCCAGCCTCTTCAAGGGACGGTCGTGGCGTTCAGACGTTTGTCAATTAGGCAACGCCTTCTGTCCCACCTCAGTTAACCAAAGCAAGACGACGACGACGACGACGACGACGACGACGACGACGACGACGACGACGACGACGAGGACGACATCTTAGCGCCTTACCTTTTACCAATGGCCAGTGCATTCAGGCTGTATTTCTGCCTGGCTAACACCTTAAGTCATGTTAAAGGTAAAGTCGTGAAAATTACCATTTGCGGGCTAAGCTGTGTCTGATTTTGTAAGATTCTAAATAATACTGTCATGCAGTTCGGTGGATCAAGCTCATGTTAGACTATTTATACATCAAACCTTACGTAATGTCGAGCAAACTTTCCATGGAACAGGACCGACTGTGCAGAATGTGAACCAACCACACGAGTCTTACATTGTGTCCGAAAATTCTTGCATGACATCGTCAGAAGTTGGCGTTGGCGTCTGTGTCCATGACGTAAGTGGTGTCCACTCACAGCGCAGTCTTCAGGCACTTCTGGTACACAAGAACACATTCCTGGAGGTCGTTGCCTCGCAGAGATGTAGCGTTTTCGACATTGACTTTTAAAAGCAAATAAACAGGAGGGGAACCGCAAGGGTACCATTAGCGGTCTTCTCCCATTCGGATGCAGCCATGCGATCTTTGAAGAACTTACGGACACTCTCAGATCCCGACCCCAAGCTCTTCTCCACACCTTGCTTATACTCGTCCGACTCAACTCAATAACTAACCCGTCTTCGCCTTCCTGACCACCTTTGCCGACAAATGTCTGACCACCACTGTCACCACCACCACCGCCAACACCACCGCCACGACGACGACGACGACGACGACGACGACCACCACCACCACCACCACCACCACCACTACTACTACCACCACCACCACCACCATCACTATTACTACTATTACTATTACTACTATTACTACTACTACTACTACTACTACTACTACTACTACTACTACTACTACTACTACTACTACCACTACTACTACTACTACTACTACTACTACTACTAATACCCCTTTGGTCGTCTTCCCTTGTTTTTTTCCTTCCATTTCTTTAATCTGTATCCGCCTGAATTCCACGTCACGTGCCGCTAGCTTTCATAAGGGATATCGCTCGTCATGCCGGACAGGGTTTTGAGCCAGATCGTGCCAAACTGATATGCTGAGTCACATGGTGCTGACACCCCTAAACTATGGGGCGAGGACGATTGCGTCGAGAAACCTGCCACACTCCTTTTCAGACTTGATAGCTTGCAAATAAAACCTTCCTCAACTGGCCATCTAGGGGAGGCGGGGATCCTTCTTCTTGACCGTTAGGGCTGCTGAGTGATCAACGAACTTGCTTTTGAGGACGCGACTTCCCCCATCTTCTCTTAGGCCCTCTCCTTCCCCAACGGCTGATGTTAGCTAAAAAGAGCCCTGCAACTTTAAGCACAAGCCTTACAGTGTTGCGCTCAGATGGGGTTGATAATCACTTCAGACATGATTTTTGTGCTCCGTGGTGATCGTGTCATTTCTGTGACCCTAGTCCTTCTGTTCTTTTCGCGTCCTGCCGTGGTTTTGTAAACACCTCTGCTAACCAACCAGTATTACCAACAAGGACAAGAGAAACTCGGATTAATATTTCCGGTTTAATCGCCGCCATCAGTCATCAGGCCCAGGCGGGGAAAACGCCGGCTGGCGGACTCCGTTGCATCTTCAACACCTGCTCTCGCTCTCTCTCTCTCTCTCCCTCTCTCTCTCTCTCTCTCCACCCCTACGTATAGTATCCACGAGTCAGCCTTTTGATGAGAGGCGGGTTTTCCTTTTCTCACATATCGTAAAACCACGGCGACGAGCGGTAAGTTCGGCGAAGACATAATAACCAAATAAGGCAGACTATTGTAAGGGCAAATTGCCACTGGCAATCGCTCTTTTGGCCGCTCGAGGAGGGATCGATGCCCTCACCGGGCCTGCTGTGTGACCTTGCACTTATGCTTCCGAGGGGTGTGTGGGTGTGTGTGTCTGTTCACACTTACGCGGTCGCGCACACTCGCCTCTGCATTCGCCGCCATCGCCTCGACCAGCTTGCACTTTTCGACTTGACTCGCCTCTCCGTCCCCTCTCCTTCCCTCTGATCGATGGTCCCACGTCTTGAGCCCTGATTGGTCATTCCCCGCGCCATCCGCGTGACTGGCCCTCGCGGACTGACGTCTGCTTTTTTGCCTCTCTTTTTTGTTGCCGTCATCATCGCCCTGAGTGTCATCTCGTTGATGGACTCTGTCATTAACCTTGTCTTCCATTTGCCGTCCTTCTTCGGGGTCAAAGTACAGTCCTAATATTTGCGAATGTCTCTGATGATGGATTCGAGTGAGAATCCGAAACGCCAGGCCAATAAATTTCTTGTTCCAGTGATCGCATCTTCGTCTTTTGAACTGCTACCTGGAAGTCGCCTGTTCACTTCTATCAGACCTAATACCTTCTGTTTGCCTACCGGCCGCCGTCTTGATGCATCTAGTTTTTTTTTGCCCGCATTTCCGTTGATCGACCTCTGTTTCGTCTGTCTCTGCAATGACCCTATCTGTCCATGATGGTTTTTCTCGCCGGTATTCTAAGCTGTTTAAAGTGGGTAGTTTTCCGCTTGGCGGGTAACCAATAGGGTCACAAAACGCGGTCCAACCCTTTGTTTTTGGAACTGCCGAGTCGAAGAAGTGGGTCCTCCAGTGGCCGTAGCCACTGTTGTGCTGGTGGCAACTTCAGCACAGTAGAAAGGAGATGGTTTGTCAGTCTTCCACTGTTAAGCTGCATCCTCTGAAGTACTACCGCTCCTGAGCACTGTCCAACTGTTTGATTCCTTAATATGAAGATAAGACCGTACTGACCGATGATGTCCACCATTTGACCCCCCTCTCCCCCCCCAGCAGGGTGGCCGCGGGGACGGTGACTCGTGCATGGGTTAGGTTTATGGTGGCGGTAGACGCACTCGGCTGCCATGACAGCTTCAAGAAGACCGGAGGCGGGATTGGGCGCACTGGCTTACAACCCGTCTGCGCGCCCCACACACCCTTGGTCCGTCCAGTCTGCCAGTACTTGTACTTGATACGGCTGCGATCATGCTTGATCTAGCCGGCCTCGAGGATGTCACGGACTGTACCTCTCCACGCGTGACGATCCTCGGCAGCAGATCTGGACAGCTCAACCCATTCCCTTTGCCAGCGACGTAGACCGAGTACGGAAGGTCCATGAACCACCTCCATGTCTTGACGAACTGTGTCGAGCCAGGTTTTGAACTGACCTCTAATGGGGCAACGATGCCGGATTGAGGGCAGTAACACTGAGCTCCTGAGGTGGAAGACGAAGAACATGCCCGAACCACCTCAGTCGTCTTTCTTGGATGGCCTGAATTATCCCTGCGATGTTGTCGCAGCGAGCGCGGACTGTCTCGTTTGAGCGCCAGTCAAGGCAGAGGTCGACAAACATTGAATCTGTGCACGTGCGTAGGTTTTCTTCTTGGAGTTGCCCAACGGTGTTACTGTCCCCGCGTTCTCTGCGAGTAGGAGCATCGCTCCGATGAACAGCTGCTGACCCTGGTCGAGGCACCTGACTTAGACGTTATATATACCGGCCGCAGGTTCTTCTCCGCACTTGCGTGGGACCCCTTAGAAGCCCTCCACCAGCACGTTTGCAGATGGACGTAGCGTGGAGCGACACCGAGTTTTGTCAGTGGTCATACAACAGCAGACTTTAGTAATGATTAAACACCTCATGTTGTTACGGGCAGGCATGTATGTGCCAGTTGGTGGTGGAAATGCTACTTACTGCCACAGCCGGAGAGAAGGGACTCCTTGTTGTGTCCACCGTCGACAGAGGCGACTGTCACAATACGCGGGCAACCCGTGCGATTGATTATAACAGTCATACGAGGGCTCCTCCTGTCTCATAAGATTCGCTGCATTGAACGACAGGACACAACAATGCCCCTGCCACTGAATACCTCTCCTATGCTGGTTTCTAGTTAATCCCCAAGCATTTCGATGCTGTCATGTGTTGCTCGCTCATGACTACACTAGCTCTCTTTGACGGGTTCTAGTCGGTCTGTTACACCCAAATGCACTCGTCTGAACAATCGAAATGGGGGCTCCAGGGGTCCGCTGCGCCCCTCATTCCCCCCTCCCCCCTGTCTGCCTGCCTCGCATGTTCAGAAGCCTAGATAATTACAAAACCCTCTCAAGAGTTGTTTGCCCCGGCTACTTACGTGTGTCTGCACATTTTCTCTAGATCTCCGTTAACCGATTTGGGCTAGATCGCAGCTGGTAGCCAGGCCCTGTAGTACAGGTGGCTTGGGGGGGGGTTGTTTACAGGGGCTATTTTGTGTGGTTCCATAATCACATCTGACCCATTTGGCTTCCGTTTTACGTTTGAGGTTAGCATTAAGGTGCCTGTTAATGGTTTTCGATTTTCAGGTTAGAGTTATGCACTTAGGCTTAGGTTTTCGGGTTACGTCTAGGGTTTGAGCGTATGATTAGGTTTCCCTTTTACGTTTAGGTTTTTCAGTTACGGCCACGTCCTAGGGCTACGGTTACGTTTACGATTTCGGTTAGGGTTAGGGTTGCCGTCAGGTTTAACGGTTAAAGTTTAAGGTTGAGTGAGGTTAGGGTTAAGGTCGCCATCCGCCTCCTTAGTCCTGGCTACCAACTGCGCTCTAATCCCGATTTGTTTTCCAAAACCCGTTCCACTCTTATTGCACAACTCCAGCTCCTATGCCCAATTAGGCAGTTCTACCTTCCACCGACGTCTAGATCGTCTATTAGTTGTACCATACAAATGGCTGCGCGTTAAGGTCAGCTGAAAGACAGCATATCTTCCCTCCCCTTGTACGAAGCACATGATGTCGAGGTGATCTGGAGCCAGTCTGTGTCAGCTGATGGTGCTAATAGAAATTCTAGATCAGACTTTTGATACTTTGACCGTCAAGCGGTCACCTCAGGAAATCTTTTTGGTTTCTCACTCACGAAAAGATCAGTGTTCTATCCCCCACCTTCTGGAAGAATTTTACGCAGACCAGTTCCTTCATTCTCAGGAAATTGTATTTTGGACGAAAATATACCTTGAATATTCTAGTAATTCCGTACGGCTGAGGTTTGATGAGCCCCGTGAACCCTTGCCTCCGTATGCCAGGGACGCTGTTTTGGTCATCCAATGAAAAGACGGCGGTCCATAACAGTTACGAGCGCGGGCCGACCGAAATACACTAAAAAACAGTGACAAATTTCCCGGTCGTTGGAGTGTCAGAAATCAGTGCCACAAAGCCAGTGTGCGCCTGGACAGAATGAAAGCACCTGCGTCAGATGGCTCCATCCAGCTCAGAGGCGCATCATCACTTCACTGCTTACATCTGCTTTTCGACCATATCATGTGTCCGACGTGTGCTGATGCTCAATTCCTGAGTCGCGAGCTCTGATGTCCCCTGTTAAGACAGGACAGTCTGTCTGACCCCGCTTTACTCCCCCCTCCTGTATCACCTGTTTTGCTTCATCCACTACGATATCAGCTGTTGCACTGGCCCTCCAACAGCACGCACGCGTCTACATGTGCATACTTGGTGCTGGTTCGATTCCAGTTCGTACTTTGGTAACAATCGGGAGATAGCACCCAAAAAATCCGCCTAACCAAAACAGCCCGTCTCACGGGACAGGTGGTAATAGGGATTTTATGGGTGGTGAGGAGTCGGATGTACGATACTAGCCGACAGAAAGCCTTATTTGAACTAGTGAACGATCGAAGTTGACCCGCTCTCCGTTCCGTTATTACAAAATGGGTCACCAAAGGCATTATAGTGATAACGGACGAGTTGAAGGCGTATAAACGTCTTCCCTCAGAAGGTTATCTACATTTCTCTGTTAAATACTCAAAGAACTTCAAGGACCCTACCACCGGACGGCACACCAATGCCACTGAGGCATACTGGAGTAGACTTAAAATGAAACTTCACGAGGGAGGTCCTGTATGTGGTCGAGCTGTGTAGGCTCACATAGACGAAGCACAGTATCGGCTTTGGTTTGGCCTCAATGCCATGTCTTTGACAGATGCCTGGGAACTGTTCCTGTCCCATGTTGTGCAGACTTATCCTACTTAAAAGTGATTTTGCTTTGTAATAAACTGCCATAATGCGAATGTATGCCGTATATTCAGGTGTACGGGTTTAACGATGGGGAAGGTTGGATAACAGCGACCATCGTCCATGTAACCTCCTGTGATGTTCGTTCGGACAGCCCATGTTAGGCCGTCGCGGCAAGTCCAAGTAGTGCGTGAAAGTAGGCCTGCAACCGCTGATATAGGCTGAAGGCGTTTGAGTCCACTGTTAAAGGTATTATTTCTAGGTAACGGATTATTTTGGGTGCCATCTCCCGAATGTTACCCGTACTTTTATTCCGTCTCAAAAAGCTTGGTTCTGGGAGGCTGTTTTACGGTTGTAAGTCGAAAATATGTCTGGTTATTCTGACGTTAATAGTCCGTACCCTTGGGTTCGGATGAGCAGGTTATGGGAAGCAAAAAATCACAGTCCGGAGGCGTTTGTTGCTGGAAAGGCTCGAATCACCGATCTCCTAGGTACACGGCTACCGCTCAAGCTCTGAGCTATCACAACCAGACCTTCTAGGCATCTTAGGATATTTCTGTGCGATGCTTAACCACCGACTGGAAAGAATCTTACTTGACTTTCCGAAGTCCTCCTCCTCCTCCCTCTTTGTCCTCCTCGTTCGCCTCTGTAAGTTGGTGGTTTGTTGAAAGAGTAAGTCTTCCAGTAATCAGTAGCCTGAACACCACTCCTGCCTTTCTAACTTATGTAATACGTGGCTTTGCGTTCTTCCAATAAGTGACAGTCCCGATGACCTCGGTGCCTGAACACGCTATCTCAAATAAACCCTTTTTATCCCCTGGATTGGGAGAAAGGTGACTGTCCCCGTGCATATCCCTTGCGTTATTTGACAGAGGTAAGTTGTCACTGTATCCTCCTGTATGGTTAACTAATGCAGCCTTTATTGAATTCTCACCTATGTGAGGTCCAAGCCGTCCTTACTGTGACCTAACACGTATGGGTATGCTGCGTGTGTGTACCATGCGTAGACGGCTATTCCCCTTTGTCAGTCTTTGTGTTAACCCCACCCCTCCCATCTTCCTGGCATTATCTTGCCATTGGAGGAAGAGGGACTACGACAGATGCTGCGTAAGTCTGACTCACTAAAAACTAAGTCACACCAACGTCACCGCTGTTAGGCCGACCTCCTGAGGGCATGCAGTTGGCGTCACTTGCGACGGTCAAACCGCCATATCCTCCGCTATCTTTCCCTTGAGGTGTGAGGATCCGGTTCCGGTTAGATGTATTTCCCACCACCACCACCACCACCACCACCACCACCACCACCACCACCACCACCACCACCACCACCACCACCACCACCACCACCTCCTCCAGGAGAGGACAGTATAGGTGCTAGGTCAGAGAGTGTAGTGGATGAGCGGGGCACCGGGTTTGAGGTATTTCTTCAGAGTGCATTTCGCCAAGGGCAACTTATAATGCCATATGGAAAAACATGCACCGGCTGCAGGGCGGAATACTCTTGTCCGTTTTGCGTTTCGGGTCCGGTCTGGAGCATGGGGACAGTCTTACTGACAGATGAAAACGAGACCGGGAAGGCCATTTTTGTCGCTGCTGCGGCCGCCGCCAGTCAGTAAGGGGATTCAATTTGATAACGACTACTCAACTCCCCTATCCGACTTGTCTTGGAGGATCTATTCAACGTTAAGTTCTTTTCTCGTTCTATTCCTCATCATAAAGAGAACACTAATACTAGTGGGACAACTAGATAATTACGGATGATTTGTATCAAATCCCTTTTAGTGGGCCCTAGAATGGTCCCAATATCCTTAAAATAATCTCGACTTATAACTAGAAAGCCTCGCTAGAAGTCGTGGTTTTGAAGGCTGCAGCTGACAAGTCCTCCTTTAAACTTGGTCAGACGGTGGCGGTTTATTCTGCATGTAGTCCTTATGGAAACCCTCCTCGGTGAAAGATCTTGGACCACTATCCGAAGTCTGGTTTGTGTGTGAATTGGTGGTGCCATGCTTCAACTGGCGCTTGCTGGGATGTTGCGACCGTAGTCCAAAACGCACAGATATACGACATGGAGTCTTGCGTCTGGCAAATATACGAGCAGCCGGAACCTACACCTCGCAAGTCCACTATACCGTCATCCCAGGATGGACCGATAACCCACTGCGCTCGCTTCATTTACACACAAAAAGGGGGGGAGGGGTAAGGAGAGACGATCACAGACGTTAGATGGGAACTTCACTTCATGCTTACCGCTGCGCCCTACTTCACCTCCAGTCGACTTGGCTCCGATAGGCCACTGTTGTCCGGGCAAGTGAAGTCGATACGGCACCGGCAGTCGTGCCAGCTGAGGGGTTGACTCGATCCTGCAGAAAACTGAAGGTTAGGTTGTAATAACCCCTTCCTCAAACTTACCTGCGATCTCAGACTACCCTAAGGGCGCTTGGCACGCGTGACGTTGGTGGAAGGTCGCGTGTGGGACGCGTAGACGGCACGTTTGAACTTCTTAGTCCCCGCTTCCACACATGCCTTCTGTCGTCTTCTCTCCTGCATTTCATGGGAAAATGAGGAGTGAGTGAGGCAGATGCATCGAAAGTCCGCTTCTTGATGAAAAAATTCACGTGGAAGTCACTACTGTACCTACCTTGTGGGGAAATGGCAAACCATATCCTCTGCGACGGTTGGACTATCGTCGTGCAACGACCGGCGCCAACTCACGGTAACCGTCAGCAATACCAAAACCGCGGCAGTAAACTAATTCTCTCATCTGGATAGTCCTATCCCACAAACCATCAAGGCCGACAATGAAGTTTAATCCCAGATTTCTAAAACGAGTCATATTTTGGCAGCTCACGACACTCGCGGGGGGGGACTGTTGTTGTATCGTCTTCAACATGAAACTTCTGGCATTACGGCGCGGAAGGCTTTGGAACGTAGCAAAGCCCAGCAGTGAGACCGAAATTCAATTCCATCTAAGTTGTCCTCGAAAGGTATTGAGAGTTATGTTATCAGAACGGATTCCGGAGTCCCAGATTCTGGAGTAAAGTGTCAATACTACGGTTAACCTATTGTAAGCATGGGTGCTGCTTGCATGCCTACGAGGTCGATGCTACGGGCGCCCGCAGACAACCTAGGGAAAATCGGATGTACAAAGCCTTTTGAAGGGCCCCCTAAGATAACCAGGAGACCTAAAAAACGTTTCCGCAGGACCGACGTTCAGGGCCAGCAATTGGCCAAACTTGAATGACAATATTTTCGAAAGAGCCGGACGCCAGTGACCGAGACAAAAGGAATCGCAGCCAATGCCTACCCGCTGTCAATATGTCCCCACTGCTAACGTTCGTTTGAAACCCGAATTACCTTTGTAGGAGACCCTTGGATCCGCCGTACACGACAAAGTATCATCAGCCTTCCGTCTGCTTTCACTGTAACATAACCTTTCCGTTTCGGTTTGCCTTGGCCGGACACCTTCGTAGTCACTAGAAGAACTGACATCACCTGGCCACACAGAGACAGACGTTGCCATGTCACCATTTTGGCCGTGCATTCCGATCCCGTATGGGTTACCTGACTGGGTCGAAACCCATCTTCCACGCCTGTGCGTTTAGCCACCGCACGGACTTATTCGGTCCTACATACACGCGCGCGGTAACGATCACTACAATATCACCCGTCACTAATGCTAACGCTGTCCCCACGCATTCAATCGCCGCATGGATTTTTGCGGTCGAGTGCATGCTTATTGAAGCCATTTATCATTCCTGCCTCCAGTCTGCTCTGCAGGTTGCCGAGGTCAGTGATGAAGGCTGGCCTATTACGTGTATATGTGTGTATGTGTGTCCGCGTGGCATGCGGCAGGCGGACAGGCCACGAGGCTGCCGGTAGTCGGGATAACTTCGTCCTCTTTTGGAACTAGATCCAGACTCACGTGTGTGGGGCGTGCAGCCGGGCTGTTTAACTCTGTCTGGCACTGCAACATCACCCATCCGCCAGTCCTGTTTTGTCGCTAGGACACAGTAGGTGTGGGAGGAATGAGGTGAGGCAGCTGCTGCACAATTTCGTCCCACCGCAAATTGTCCCTGCGTCTACCTTGTGGAGTAATGATTGATCTCGCCGTTTGCAGCTGTCGAAATGTCCTCACCGCCTTTGTTTAATTGGCTGGGATCGGCCGGTGTAACCGCTATGTTTTAAGTTCCAACTTCCCAATCGATCAGAGTGCTTCGGGGAGGGGAGTTAACGACAGGAGCGAAAACTTTATAATCAATCAGTCACGCCGATATCTTCAACACCACTCGTTTTCTTCGTCTTTTTTGCAAACGTTTTTTTGAAAAAGCCCTCCATTCCTTTCCTGCATTGATTACTAAGGCGCCTTGTCGTCTTGCAAAGAACCTAGTTTTGCCTCCACAGTAGAAGTACGGCAGAGCATTCTTGAAGAAGGAGGTCTCCTTCCTCACGACTGCCTCCTGGGGCTCGTCTCTTCGCTTCTGTTGGCAGAGCACTCTAGTTTTTAATAAGACTAGGTTTGCTTGCACACATTGGGAGGGACTTTTGTCGGTCGATTTAAATTGCATCCTCCGTCGCACCCATCTCAGACCACATAGAAATGGGCGTATTCCGACTTTTCAAAAAGTTTACCCCGTCAAAACATTCAGCAGTGACAGGTCCTGGAGCTATGAGCTGGTATACGGACGGACAGTTACGCCATGGCTCTCGGCCCAACCCACCAAACTCCTACACCTTTTTCTCGATAACTCACCTCCTTCCTTGCAAACTCTTCTTCTTCCTTGGCTTTATTCTGTTGCCCATTTTTGGGCAAAATTGAGCAAAATACACCACCCGTTACCTCGCAATCCTCTGCTTCTTTCCTCAGTTCTTCTTTTTTGCAGGCTTTTTAGACATTAAAATAAGTGGAACTGACCCCGCAGATTGTTTCCTCTGCTGACTGAGTTCGGAATTTTTCTCACGCGGTAAAGCAAGCAGGCCCAGCCGCTAACCGTTTTCAACTCATAACGATTTCCCGGCTTGTAGTTGTTAATGAGCTCAACACGCCGTCACCCTTTCCGAAATATATATATATATCCTATTGTCGATTGTCTGTTGCTTGCTCTCTCTATCTCTCTGGGTCAAACGGTCAGGGAGCTTGGTGTGGACTGCATGTATAAGGGTTTTTATTAGGACTCTGAACATAAGGACGTAGTCTTCAGATTAAGTATTCCACTAATGCGTGCTAGGTCCTCTGTGTGCTTGCCCAACATAATGTGCCAAGCAGGCCAGTATTCGAGTTGTCAGGCCAACCTTGTGAACTAGTAGTGTGTGTGAGTGTTTAAGGGAGGATTGCCTAGTGTTTGCAAAGATATGCGTATTCACGTTAGCCATATACTAAATCCATCCTCCGAGGACGCAATGTCCCATCGTCTTCTTTATGCGGTTTTCACCCTGATAACTTTTATTGGGGGACTTCTAGTCTGCCGCCTTCTTTTTGAAGAAGTCGCAGTACGCCACACACTTGTCCTCTATGTTTGAAATCATTAGGAAAGTCGGAGAAACGCAACCGCTGACGGGGTGGAGGAGAATTGTGCTTTAGGAGTATTGTGGGAAAGCACAGGGCTAGCGCAAAACCATTGTGGGGGGTATTTCAACATGATTTGAAATGGTACTGAAGCTAGTAAAGACAGATGTCACAGGGCAAATGATTGTATACCAAGAACCCTCTATGAAAGAGAAGAAGAAGAAGAAGAAGAAGAAGAAGAAGGAGAAGAAGAAGAAGAAGAAGAAGAAGAAGAAGAAGAAGAAGAAGAAGAAGAAGGAGAAGAAGAAGAAGAAGAAGAAGAAGAAGAAGAAGAAGAAGAAGGAGAAGAAGAAGAAGAAGAAGAAGAAGAAGAAGAAGAAGAAGAAGAAGAAGAAGAAGAAGAAGAAGAAGGAGAAGAAGAAGAAGAAGAAGAAGAAGAAGAAGAAGAAGAAGGAGAAGAAGAAGAAGAAGAAGAAGAAGAAGAAGAAGAAGAACGAATATTGAAAGGAAAGAGAGAAAGGGGAAGAATAACGCATGAATGTCCGGCAGGTGTAACCGACAAAGGCAGTACAAGCTGAAGTGGCGATTTCTGACTTGCCATCGCGAACCGCGCAGCAGGAAGGACCGAGCTTTAAATACCCAAGTTCTGTGGTTTTTGAACCAAATTTTCTATAAGGGGCTCATGTATTGGCCGCCGAAATCGAGAGTATCCGCTTACACGGAGGGGGCATTTGCCTATCAACCTGAATACAACACGCAGTGGTATTACTGACTCTTGTTGTTTGCCGAGCTAGTCAGCGTTGGTGTCCGCGAGTGCATTAACCGCCGTCCTGACTTGTTTCTTGGTATCTGCGCAAATATTATCACCGAAATACTTAGACTTTTTATGCACTCCAGCCTAATTGTTTATTTACTGACCTTTTGGCAATTGGATTTAGGAACATCTTTTCACAAATATCTTTTGAACTGATCGTGGATGCTCAGGACTGGTAAAAAGAGAAGCGAACCGTTTTTTCTTCACTTCAAGACGTGAAGCATCAGCAGATGTTGGCGGCTTACGTCATGGTAGTGCGCCTGTACGAGCCAGACTGCATGGGTTAGTGGAATGGACGGGAAATCGTCATGCGTGTAGAGGTCGAGGAATGAGGCCCCAGCGCGAATGTCAAGATCCGTTTACCCCCAACCACTAACCTCTGCTTCCTCTTATGGCATACGCATTCGTGATTATATCCCCTGCATGTTATGGGCTGCTTAACTGTTGTGCCTGAAAGCGCATCGCAAAATATCCGTTCTCTTGTCATATAGACTCACCAGGTTGACATGTACAGCAGCTCTGTAATAGGCATGGCTTCGTGGAAATGCATACTACCCTGCCGGCCTGGGATTTCAAGCAACCTCGGTCTTTGAGTTGGTATACCACTACCCCCCCCTCGCCTTTATTAGCTGAGACAGTGGTCATTTTCACACACTCGCCTAGAGCCCAGCCAGACTCGTAGGCTGTATCCTGCGCCGCTAGCACCTATTCAATAACCCTTTTGCCATCCCTAAGCCAACATCTCTTCTTGCTGCTCGCGTGCGGATTTGTGGAAACATTGCCGGCCGTTAGATGAGGAATAACACCGCGGGCGGAGGGGGGGGGACTAGCATTGTCCGTGAAGGAGCAAACAGCGCCGCGAATCCGCGACAGAGTGTGGCGCGACGGCCAAAACTGCGAATGCACCCTATCCGCATGCTGGCATTTGGCTCGCGTGACCTAATTGGCTGATTCATCCTTTTCAAGGTCTTCGGTGTTTACATGGCCGTGGAACAAGGCCTCGCTTGCGAGTGCACGCGTACCCGGGCGGGGACAGGACGGCGCATACACCATGCGCGTTTTTCGCTGCAGCTGAGAGCGTTAGTCGTCCTTTTTGACGGCCGTTTTGAAAGTCGTCTGAAAAATTGAGTTCCATTCTACAACTAGGGGGGTACCCATATATAGGGAGGAAAAACCAACGAAGAAAAGTAATTTAAATAGGGCCGCCAATTTAGTCTGCATTGCATAGTTTACTCTAACCCTGTAGTATTGTTAACTACGAACCTGACAGGCTATTTTAGGTAACTAATTAATTAATGCACTGGCAAAAGGTCTGAAATGCAACACTAACATCAACAATGTCTGGAAACGAACTTCTCGTTCTCACATAAACATTATCGACAACTAAAAGGAGCTCCTTTGGGGTCACCTATTTCTGGCTTTCTGGCTGAGGTCACAATGCAAAAATTAGAGGCTATTACCTTACCATTATTCAAGCCCAAATTGTGGGTACGCTACGTAGATGACAAGGGCAGGTTAAAGGAGCGATTGACCGATTCCAGTGAGTCTGGACTTTGTGGGACACGGGAATGAGTAACATCCCCCCCACGTATTGTAGGTGGTTTTGCGCTGAGTTCCAGGGGGGACCTATTTTCGTGTTTCAACTTTGACCCCTAAACTAGCCCTCCTAACCCTAGCACTAACTCTCTGGTATGTGGCGCACATTAGGATCCCTGCCGCCACCCACATTGATGTTGCTGGTTAAAATCCTAATCAAGTGTTTGTTGTGAACCAGGCGGTATGGTGGTACGCCTAGGTGCGGGTCCGGCCGTGCCAGCCACCTACGCCCTCCCCGTCCCCGGTCTTCTCGACTCTGTTGTGACAACCGGCACAGGTGGGACGGGGGAGAGAGTGCGGTAGGCGCCGTGCAAGTCTACTGCCACTATAAAAGAAAGCACGCGCAGATGGCCTCGTCTGCTTCATCTTGCTACAGAGCGCACGGAGCACCTTGTTGACAACGACGGTCGAACTGTCACATGTAGGAGGGGACATTGCAGGTTAGTCATAAGGCCCATCAACCAAGGGTAAAAGGACACCGAGGCTCAAGGATGCCCCGTCTATTTTGCCACGCATGTGTCGGGAATTTGCTCTGGCTGCTTGTGCGCCTGATGTCATTTTCGGATGCGAGTAGATGTAACAGTGGATGCTAACTCAGGGGACCGGGGCCTTCTGCCTCCATCGTCCAAAGCACTATTTAGATTCAAATATCTGCCATGTGAGAGTATTCGGAGGGATTTCATGATATCAGTACAATCACCTCAACTCTCAATCTAAACCACAACTGGGTCTCATTGAAGCCGAAATTTGTGGCTACCTGCCCTTTGTGAGAAATTTCCGCATTGGTACACATACTTTGATATGCATTCTTTATTTTATACCTTTTATTTTTTCGTGCGTTGTAATGCTTCTACTATCTCACGTACGTCACTGGGGACTGTTTGGGCCTGTTTCTGCCTATCACCCCTTTGAGAGGGTCGCCTGACCTATAAGGGCTTATTGTTGAACAGTGTTCTTTTATCACGAACTGCCCAATATTTTAGATCTGCCAGTCTTGTCATTGTAGCAGGTCGCGGATTCCAAAAGCATTGGTCCTTGCGGCTGGATGCGCACTCTTGGTGTGTTGGTGAATGGTTCCTGGCAGTGGGTGCTTTGTTACGTCCCGAAGAGTGTCAGGGCAGTTGTGCATAGTTGGTCTCAGGTGCTAGGGTCGTCTCTCCTGTTTGGAGTTGGTTCATGTTAGTGGCCCCAAGTGAGCTTGTGGGGGAGTAGTAGTTGCTTTAGGCGCCCCGCAGGCAGTTTGAGCGGTTGTAGGGGGCGCTCACCGATCACGTTACAGAATCCACTTTTCCCGTTGTGCCTTGGGGCTCGGTGTAGAATCCTGTAGACAGTTTGAGCGGTTGTAGGAGGCGCTCACCGATGAAGTTACGGAACCCACTTTTCTCGCTGTGCCTTGGGGCTCGGTATAGAACCCTGTAGACAGTCGTCCAGCGGCTAGTAATATAGGTAGATTGAGTTTACTGACAATAGACAGGGGAGACTGTAATGGCCATCAGCAACCAGATATGACTATTCCCGTCTCCCGCTGTGGTCTCGAAACTCATTTGGCTAGGGCGTTGGCTGAACCCAAGCCTTCCCTTGCTGTCCTGTATGTTCGAATGCCACCGAGGTCATGAATTTTTCTCAGTTGAGTCGAATTGAGTCCTTTGTCTTCGTCTGAAATCTCAGTTTGGACGATCATAGGAATGCTATTATCTCTGTTGGACTAGTGGTTCCACCAACTCCCTAACTGCTGTAGATGATAATTTCAATCTTCTTTTACCTGACATCGGTCAGGACGCGAAACCAGACGAGAGTAGTTTATGCGCCTTTCCAAATCTGGCGCATTTGTGTGTGTGAAGCCTGATTTGGTTATGAGTGAAGGACCAGGAACGCCACCGGGCCCAAGACCATCTTCGGTCGTGTTGACCGAGACTTGCCACTAAAACAGGAGTGATAAAGAAAGAGTGATTGACGTGGATTTTTCGTAAGTATCCTCACTACAGTCCAGCGCACTCCTTAGTGAGCGCAGTCTCCCTAGAGCAATGATCTTTATCGTCGTGTTTGGCGGACATTCAGTTGCGCTCGATTGACCTTCCTATGACTGTCCTACGAAATCAATCTCTGAATGCAGCCTCTGCGATTGTATACGGTCTGTGGCGCTGGCGTTGAGGACCACAGCACACTCACCGATCGGTTACGGGGCTCATCCTCCACGTTTTGCTTATGGCACTCGATCTACAGCCCCGCCGACTCTAGAGCCGCTAGGGCCTGTGACTCAGTGGTTAGAGTGTTGGACCTTTAACTAACAGGTTGCGGACCTGAGCCTCAGGAGTTGCTAAAATCCAGAGTAGGAGATGGCTGACTTACGACGACTAGTAAGCCGGAAACGGCCGCTCCAGTCTTCCTCGTCTTTGTCATCAGTATATCTCCGCAAATAACACTAGTCACTATGCGACTGTCGGCGGGGCTCTAGATCAAGCCTCAAAAGCAAAACGAGGCGAGTGGATTCTGTAAGCGATCGGTGAGCGCCCATCTACCACTATTACCATTTTAGATCGAAAAAAGACGGGAAAACGTGCCTTTGACTCAGTGATTAGCATTTTGGACCCCTAACCAACAGGTCGCGAGTTCGAGCCTCAAGGGTTGCACCAGCCTAGGGTTGGGCACGTCCAGCTGACGACAGCCAGTAAGCCAGAAATGACCATTCCAGGCTCCCTTGTCTTTGTCGGCAATATATTTCTACCTGCAAATCATAGTGTTTAGCCTTGTCAGCGACTACGCACACGGCTGCTGCCAGTCCGTTCGATTTCGCCCTATTATCAGAGCACAGCGGGTGTGGGAAGAGGGGTGAGATAGATGCAATGCAAGGTAACGCGTGAGGTACGACTGCGCTCCCTTCACAAGACAGTGGTCGGCGTCACTTGACCGGAATACTCGGAATGGTTAATCTGCCAAACAAGTTGGCGTTTTAGGTTGTTAAAAAAGTCCTATCTCACCTCAAACAGATGTTTTCACGCGACGGCGATGCTTCAGTAACTTTTCTTTGGAGATCATCCGCCAGGAGTTAGGACGTACCGTTTTTCCACCTGTCTATCTCTCTCCCTCTCCCTCT